TCTTTAACACGTCGTTCAACTTCAGATTGTATTAAATTTTCACGAGATTCTTTCTGACGTCTAAAAATTTTCAGAATAAAAACAAAACTTTAATAAATAAATAAATCTATTTACAATAATTGCATGCGTTCTCGTTCAAGTTCAGCTAATCGTTCAACTTCCGCTTTTTTACGAGCTGTTAAATCGACTAATTCATTTATGCTTGCCATTCGACCTATGGATAATATTGAATCTTCACGACCATCATTTGATGAATTACTTGATCGACGACGAGATCTAAAGAGAATAATACATCATTTAGCTACTAGGTTTCTCCAATTGAAAAGAGTATCTCACGGAAATGACAAAACTACTCGAGCAACTCTAAGCTTACGAGGGAACTTTTTCAGGTGTTGCCCTTCGATTTTCCAAATTACCTCATATTTTGATAGTGCATAGTGACCTATTAAAAAACCCCTGTGAGGGACCTCAGTGTCGAAAAAATGAAAGTTTGATTTTGGACCTCAAATTTTGCTCAAATATAGAACTAAGTTAGAGTAGTCTATACACAAAAATTCAAAAAGTTTAGGTCAAAGTTTCATGAAGATCGACCAATTTAATAGTATGGATCCTTTTAACATGTGAGTACAGCCTTTCCGACATGTTATATCTCGGCGAAACTTTGACCTAAACTTCTGAATTTTTGTGTATAGACTAATCTAATTTAGTTCTATATTTGAGCAAAATTTTATTTTTTCGACCCTGGGGTCCCCTACAGGGATTTTTTAATAGGTCACCATGTACTCTCAAAATATGAGGTAATTTGGAAAATCGAAGGGTAACACCTGAAAAGATTCCCTCGTTAGGTGTGTGACCCTCTGACCTTAAATCATATTCATAATTCAATGTCTTACCGTTTTGATTTTTTTTCTCGATCAGGTGAACGTGATTTATGTCGTTGTGATGAACTGGTCATACTTCGATCTTTCGATCTATCTCGTGATAATTTTCTATGTTTATGTTTTTTATTCGACGGACTACGTGATCGACCCATCGTGCTGTAATACAACACGAAATCTAAACAAGATTTCAAAGAAATAATAGACAGTCTGATCAATAAAAAGAATATTTAAAAAAAAACGAACAAAGGAAAAGAAATAATAATCATATCGACATTATCATATTGGTCCCTAAAAAAGATACAAAAATATTAATGATTAAGTTTTATTCTTGAAGAAATTATGAAAAAAAGATACTTATACTTATAATACTTACCATGTGAGTAGCATGTTTATAGTTCAAAAATTTTAAGTAAGAAAACTAGTGCAGATATATAAAATATTTTTCTTTTATTTTTATCTTATTGATCAAATATGAAAGAATATAACAAGTAAAAACAAATTGTTTACTTTGATTTAAACAATCAATGAAAAGTTACTTGAATAATATGATCTTCTTTGATTAATATGAAATGACAATACAAATTTTTCATTACATGCATTTGTTGCAATACAAGACAAGTCAGATGAAGTTCTTGATAATTATTCCATAAACTAGATTAAATAAAATATAAGATTTATTATATATTATAATATAAAAAGTAAGGATTTTTATGTTGGAATATATTACTGAAAGTTTAAGCAAGAAAAAATGAACAAATAAATGTCGTAAAAATAGATATCCATCCTTCATTCATTTCTAATCATCCAATTAGAATAGTTCTATCGATACTAGCGACAATTGAAAACAAAATATAACTCGTGAAATTTGAAAGTATATTTTCAATCAATTATTCTCTATAAACAAAACAAGAGATTTATTAAGTTGTATAATATATAATGATTTCGTTTAGGACGAACAATAAGTAGTTGAAATTTACACGAATAGAAACATTTTTTTTCATATCACAATCATAATCAATATTACTATTTATAAATTACAGATACTTATATTTCTTATATATATATAATTACGAAATTTGATATTTAAATTACATCCAACAAAATTCTTTCTAAAGCCAGTAAATATTTACATTTCCTTTCATTATTAGGATGTATTAAACAATCAGTAAATGTACATTTCATCTTATTATCTCGGTTATTTACAATAAAATGTGTTTATATACTTTTATTATATCTATAGAAATATAAATATGCAGATTGTATAAGGTGATATTGCTTCATATCATTTAGAAGACATTTCTTTGTCATGAAAATACGGCTTGGAAGAATATTTTTTGGACATATGTTTCAGAGAAATAATAGCCATTTGATTTGTCCACACTTTTTTTTCGATCAACTCTATTAAACTTCATTTTTTTTTGGTGATAAGTAAACCTTTACGAGGTAAAAATTAGCTGAAAAGAAATCACTTGCATAGCACTTATTTTTCGAGATTGAAACATTTTACTTAATACTTGATTGTTACATGGCTTTTTGTAAAAACTTAGATATCGTATCGTATGTTTTAAGAATAGGTAGATACCATCATCATTGAAATGTTGAAAATAATTTCACTTACCATAGTAACACAATTTTGATAAATATCGATCAAAATAGAAGTCACTTGAAAAGCTCGATCATCTCATTAGAAATACATCTATTTACGGTTCACTACGAATGAATAACATCATTAGATATATGTCAATCATAAAAGTACATTGAATGATGTTCCTGCCAATAAAATATTGAATTTATACTTATTAGGATATTTAAAATCATGTGTCATTTTCGTATCGACTTTTGCTTGTTACTGCATTAAATTTTTTGTTATTTTACACTAAAAATAATAAGATTCTTGTTGGAAGAAGAAGTCATATGAATGTATTTTGACTTTTATATTTTTCATCGCGATTAAGCAACCTTACATAAGATACTGCAGAAAACGAATCATCGTTCAATCTTGTCAAGGAATTTCTATACTTCTTTTTAAATGCATCATAATAAAATCGAATATTTATGGATATATATATATTACTAATTCCTCTTCAGTTAAACTTTCATCAAATAAACTAAAATCTTTATAGAATTGAGAATTATTTATGGTATTTATGTATTATTCGATTAAAAGACAGAGAGGACATTGATGCGTCTATAGGTTTCTGAGCCTATAAAAATTCCATAAATTACTACATGAGAGTCCTTTATTCCGAATAAACAGCCGCTGATACGTTGGCAACTTGTCACTAACATCTTGCAACCACACACATTTTGAAATGTCTTCGTCTTACTAATATTCACTAGTCCTCCTAAATGAAACTAATGCTACAGAAATAATCTCACATGCGTCCCGATGAACGTACAAACAGATATTTCTTTCTTTAGATATGACTAACATCACTCCCTCAATGAAAACATGCCTTTTTTTGTTAAAATCCTATGACGAAAACATGCGAACTATTTCATACATTTCCTCTTGCTTCCATTTTCCCCCTATAATCGTAGTAAAAATGAACTACTATTGCTACAAGATATCATATATATTTGTTGAATCGATATAAAATCTTATAAACGTTAAAAACAAAAGCATTCTGGTTTGTGGTTGCTACTGTTAGTAAAGATTTTCATTGAAACTTTATTTCCAGTTCTACATTTTTTTTGCCATATTTTCCGAAGTCATATATCTACTTTCTCATACATTTAATTGTATTTGAGACTGAGTGCCATGAGTGTCTATGTAGAAAGTTAGTGAATGATGAAGCGAAGTGAAAAGGAAGAAGAACAAGTATTGTTCTTACTTTGTTCATGTGTAGAGCATTGACAAGATCTTGCGCTCCTTGAGCACCGATTTTATTGCTTCTGAGGTCGAGTGTGGTGAGTGACTATGTGAAAAGTGCATGAATGATGAAGTTAAGTGAAGAAGAAGAATAATATCGTTGTTACTTTGTTGAATTTTAGAGCATTGGCAAGATCTTGTGCCCCTTGATCACCGGTTTGATTCTTTTGCAGGTCGAGTGTGGTGAGTGTCTGTGTGAAAAATGACGTGAAGTGAAGGGAAAGAAGAACAATTATTATTCTTACTTTGTTGACTTGCAGAGCACTGGCAAGATCTTGTACCCCTGGAGCACCGATTTTATTGCTTCCGAGGTCGAGTATGGTGAGTGACTATGTGAAAAGTGCATGAATGATGAAGAAGAATAAGTATTGTTGTTACTTTGTTGAATTTTAGAGCATTGGCAAGATCTCGTGCCCCTTGATCACCGATTTGATTCTTCTGCAGGTCGAGTGTGGTGAGTGTCTGTGTGAAAGATGTGTGAATGATGTAGTTAAATAAAGAGGAAGAAGAACAAGTATTGTTGTTACTTCGTTGACTTTTAGAACTTCAGCCAGATTTCGTGCTCCTTTATCACCGATTTTATTCGAACCGAGCTCGACTGTCGTGAGTGTCTATGTGAAACGTGTATGAATGGTGAAGGGAAGTCAAATGAAGAGAAAGAAGAACAAGTATTGTTGTTACTTTGTTGGTTTGTAGAGCATTGGCAAGATATTGTGCTCCTTGATCACCGATTTCATTGTATCCAAGGTAGAGTGTGGTTAGTATCTGTGTGGAAAGTGTGTGAATGATTATGCGAAGTAAAGAGAAAGAAGAACAAGTATTGTTGTTACTTTGTTCATTTGTAAAGCAATAACGAAACCCTGTGCTCCTTTAGCACCAATTTGATTGCCTCCGAGGTCGAGTGTGGTCAGTGTCTGTATGAAAAGTATGTGCACGATGAAGTTAAGTGAACAGAAAGAAGAACAAGTACTGTTCTTACTTTGTTGATCTGTAGAGCTTTGGCAAGATCTTGTGCTCCTTGATCACCGATTTGATTACTCCACAGGTAGAGTGTGGTCAGCGTCTGTACGAAGAGTGTGTGAATGATGAGGTGAAGCGAAAAGGAAGAAAAGTAAATATTGTTCTTACTTTGTTGTTTTGTAGAGCATTAGCAAGATCCTGTGCTCCTTGATCACCGATTTCATTTCTCTGCAGGTTGAGTATGGTGAGTGTCTGTGTGAAAAGTATAAGAATTACTATGGTGTGGCTTAAGGTTCGGAGAAGTTTGATTTAAAGTAGTAGATTGTTAAGAAAGTGTGTTTGAATGTAATAATTACTTGGTCGAGATACATTGAGTCAATATACTTTCGCAGCTTGGAATCAATACAGTTAGGTGACTTAAGCGGTTTTCGTGGATCTGGAAATAGGGTTGGTTTAGGCTTAAGCGATTTTGGTGGATCCGGAAGTGGTGTTGCTTTAGGCAGGGATGGTTTTGGTGGATCCGGAAGTGGTGTTGCTTTAGGCATGGGCGGTATTGGTGGATGTGGTGTAGGTTGGGGTACAGGATTAATGAGTGGAAATTTGGTTTGTATTTCTTTGAGTCGTATAATATGAAGACCACCATCGGAATAAATAGAATCTGTCACTTGAAATTGTCGAGCTGGAGGAAGTAGTACATCGTCGTCTTCTGGAAAAAGTGAATATTGTTTAATACTTTTGCCGGAAAAACAGTCAATGATAAATAATGTTCTTGTTCCACTTGGACCTAAATATTGTTCATTTCTTAAAATACCAACAGATGCTGTACAAGATGAAAAACCCCACCAAGTGACGGTACTTCCTTTTGGATATTGTGCAGTTAAATCAAGTTTAACCCCACGATACACGGTGAGACGATTAGAATCCGATGGAAATTTGGCTAAAGAAGTCATAATAAGACGAAGATAAAGAAACCATGGCTTGAGTAAATTTCGATTAGCTGCTTGCAAAGTAGTGTTAAGAATAATATAAAACGAGTTGTGTGTTGGTGTCCATTCCATCGTGTAAAGTGTGATTGAAGCTGCTTCATCATGTGTTAAACCATGTTCTCTATCGAAATGCTGTTGTTTGACTGTCCAAGCCATACGCTCAACTTCAGGAACAATCGAAATGAGAGGAACAATGGCTTCTTCCAGAGAAACAAGAGGCTCATTCTCATATCCTATGATAGGTGAGAGCATTCGTCTTGGCTCTGAAGTAAGATCAGAGAATCGACATATGTGTTGTGGTTCATTAGTAAATTTAGGAGCCATGATGTGCAATGGTCTAAAATGCAAATAATTTCAAGTGAGAGTACGTTCTCTTTGCTTGATATAGTTAATGCACTGGTCTATAAGATAGTTATCGTAACATTTTTCTATGCATACGTGTTAGAAGAAAAATACAGTAGAACAAAATAAGCTAATATGGAATGCTGTTCAATATACTACGATTATTATTTTCAGACAACAAGATTAGAGACAGATGAGTAATGTGATGAAAATCTCTGTATATAAATTTGATACTAATGTATGACTGAACTGTTTTTCTCTTGAGAGTGTGAGTGTGAGTGTGAGTGGATCTGTATCTGAGTATTACAGTACTCTTACTCTGACATCCACGCGCACACCCACATCTATCTGAGTTGGTAACCATGTCAGTTGGTATCCGTCTAACTTGGAATTCTTCCACTTGGAGATCGACTGAGTTGTTATGATGGACGAATTATTCAATATATTATTGTTGCCTATACGATCGATTATATGCAGTCTGAGTGGGCTATCGGCGAGAGATGCATTCTGCGAATATCTCTCGGCGAAAGTGGAATTTACTAACGATGCAACTGAGACATATATAGATCTGTTAAACAGTATAAAAATTATCTTTCTCACTAATCAAAATTTGATAGAGAACAGTCTTTTAAGTCACGCAGTGATGATTGAAGTACAGTTATATTCAACAATATCTTTAGTAATCAATAAAGAGAGTGTAGAAAAGAATAAAGCTAGTCGTATATTGTTGAGCGCAATACAAGTCATATTTTATCGAAGATGTTTACATTTAAAACATCTTACAACTACATAGTTCTAACACGACTTTTTGATCATTATATTTATAAAATATGAGAAAATATCAAAGTATACTTACCAAAAATGATTTTTTAATACAAACAATAATAATAGTTGTCTTGATAATGTTGTAGTATCTAAAAATAAACAAGTAAATAAAATAGATCAATGTTGATAAGTGCATATTTCGGAACAAAGATTCTTGCTAAAAAAAAAGAAATGTATTTCTCTTAGAAACTTATTCTCATGTTTGTAGCTTGATGTAAAATTGCGTCTTTCGATTATACTCATTGATAAACGGTAAGTTAATATGAATGACGTTTGATTTTCGTTATACGTCTATTTGCATCGTCGTGTAAGACGTATGAAAAGAAAAAAAATCATTCTTTCTTTTTATCTTTTTTTTCCTTATGTATTAGTTAACGTAAGCTTTGACGACACCACAATGATAAACACATTTTTTCGTTTTGTACATATTGTTTTGGTAAAAGGCATGTTTTATATGTTTTGTTTTTACCAAGGCATATGTAAACCTCTTTTTTTCTGATAACGTCGGAAGAAACAAGTTCGTGTTACATAAGACTGAATGAACATCGAATTATTTTCATGTATATTGATTTATTTCTAAATTCTTTAGTACATATTTAAATTTCTCATATATGATTTTAAGATCAATAAATTTGAAAGCAATTTATTTGAAAATGTTTTTTAAAATTCTCATTTTAATTGATGATTATACAGACAATTTATACAGCTCGACTGGGTTTATTAAATTGCTTTGATACATAATATTTTGTATTTATAATAAGAATGTGCTACTGTGATTAAGTGCGTCTTTTTCTTTACTTTTTACACAATACGATAAAAACCACATGAACAAATCTGTTTAGTTTTATTAAATTTTCATGTTTCATTAAAACGAGAAATGTTAGAAATCTGCCCCCAATAAAAAAACATAAATGAATTTGAAAAATTGTTTTTGTATATATATAGACATGCTGACATCTAAATATCTTCTTTTTTCCATATTATAATAAGTCACTATGGATTTCTAATTTTTTTGAAACTGAAACCTCGAGATAATATAGAGTTTTCTAACTCTTCATACAAAAACTCTTTGATATTACTCATTGATGTATTTTGATGAACAGTATGACTAGCAAAATTTCCATTTCATTTACAATGATGCAAGCATATATGATAGCAGACTCCAAACGTGACACTTTAATCAAAATATTGTTGGTCAAATAATTTGTCCTAATCTATCGGCAATACTAGTCAATATCATTTGATATTATAAAATATACAAGGGCTAATGTTTAAATAAGATAATTATTCGTTTGCTTTGATTATTGTTAATTTAGAGTATATTCTATTAGTTGTAGCGAAATGGCAATAGATTAGAAGGAAAGGGATAGTATTTAATCTTTTAGTAGATTCACACTCTGAAAATTTACTAATTTATTTTA